ATGAAGTAATTACAACAAAAATATATGTAAAATAACTTTTATTTTAAAATTTTCTGCAGAATTAAATTTACTTTAATTGGGACAAAAATAGAGCTCTAAATATTTTATTATTTCTAGCTGAAGTTTTCTTTTTATTTGTTTTAAAAACTTTATGATTTTTATTAATGACACAAGCTGCTTTGCTTATTTATGCTTATGTTTTTCTTTTTTGCAGAAATCTTGTACGATGTGTTTGAGCTTTTGTGGCTCGCTGTAGTGACCTGTAAAACACATTTATTTTCTTTTTATCCCCTTAAATCTAAAATACTATTTTTTTGGTAGCGTTATGCGTTCAAAATAATTTTCTGTCTGTCTTAAACATTTAAAGAAGCCTGAGAAGAAATATATACATATATATATATATATTTTAATGTTTCATTTTGAGGTTTACTTTTAATTAAATGCATTTTATCTTTGTTTGTGGTCCAGTAATATCAAGGACATCCACTCGGTCCTCGAGGTCACCGTTTACGACGAGGACCGAGACAGAAGCGCCGACTTCCTGGGGAAAGTGGCTATTCCTTTACTAAATGTGAGTCAAAGGCATATTTCTGTGTGTTTCTTTTTTTCACCTCCCTGGAGAATAATAGAGAGAACATACAGCGGAGGAACAGAAAGAATGAAAACAGAGGAAGATATAAAAAGCAGAGGTTATTTTTGCAACTCCACTGATGACACTGTTATTATTTCTCAAAGAGTAAGAGTTGACAGGAAGCAGGGAAAAATATGGGAAGAAAAGCAAGTTTTTATTTAAAAAAAAAGTAGAGATTGATAGCTGAGAAGATATAAAGTAAGTGGATGAGAGATGAGATGAAAATGACGCTGATAGATGGAAAGATTTGACTCAGAGAAACACAAAAAAAGGTGGTGAAAGAAGTCTCTTATAGTAGTGAAAATATAGATAACCTGTGAAGGAACTGTGTGTCTCGTATATCTGTGCTTTGCTGTACAGTATGATTCCCCAGGATAGTTAATTTCTGTTTGACTGAGCCGAGCTGCAGTGGGTAATGAACAGGTACTTGTCAGAGTTGCCACAGTTGTTTTGGGTTCCCTGTCAGCGCCAGCAGCTGGGGTTCAAAGGTGGCCCGGGGAGCCGATTCAGCCGGGTATTGCCAGACAGACGGCTGTCATGTCCCTCTCCCACAGATCCAAAATGGAGAACGCAAAGCCTACGCCTTGAAAAGCAAGGAGCTGACAGGGCCAACAAAAGGGGTCATCTTTCTCGAAATAGACGTGATTTTTAATGCTGTAAGTCTTTCTTTTGCTTTTTTTTAGTCTCCTCCTCCCTGATTTTTTTTACCCCCCCCACCATTATCCCCTCACTCTCATCCTTCTCTTGTTCTCCCCAGCATTTGCCCCTTCTGTGGTGCTGTTGTCTTTATTCTGTTTGCCCCCCCCCCCCCCCCCC